GTTCAATTTCCAAATGTCTATGTTTGCCTAAATCTTAATTTATTTGTTAACTGCTGCTTTATAACCTATTGGCTCTTTTCCATTCTCATTTTCTTGATTCTCTTGTGTAGATATCTTCCCTTGCCGGTGAGTGCTCTTTGTTTGATTGCTGCCACAGCATTCTGTGCAGAGTATCTTCTATTCTACTTTCACTCAACAACACACAAAGGCCTTGAGGGATATTACCATGTCCTCCTTGCTTTCCTCATTGGCCTTTGCATTATATCTTCAATTGCAGGGGCCCTTCTGTCTACCAGCTTCCCAGTAGATTTATGTAATGGCATTGCCATAACGCTGCAAGGAATCTGGTTCTATCAGACTGCATTTGTTCTTTATGGTCCCATGCTACCCTCTGGTTGTAGGCTCAAGGATAGTCATATCACATGCCATGCAAAAGAGAGTGAGGTTCGGGCTGAACTGCTTGCTAATGTTCAACTCTTTGTTGCAGTACTCACTGTTCTTGTAGGAACTGTAGCATCCTATGGCTTTGCAGCTTCAAGATATATGCCAACTGTGAAAAACTTGCAACCAATTCAAGTTGAGTTAGACAAGGAATGAAGTACCAACGCAATGCAGCATGGTTGACACATGATTTTTTTCTTTAAATTTGTTGTCAGAGATTTGTTCCTCAAGTTAATATAAGTTGAAAAGTATCAATCTCTTAAACAAATCTCATTACTTTCATAGTGATTGACTCTGTGCTGGGAATATCTTAGTAAAAGAAAAGAAGAAGATGAGGAATGCAGTTGGTTTTGCAGTATATTGACAGCGTTGTTTCTTGTAAAAAGTGTGCATATTGAAGTAAAAGAGTGAAGGAAATGAAATTTTTGGAATCAAATGTAAAATAAACAGAAAAAAAACTTTTACTGTGTAAATTTATGGAGTGAGTTTCCGTGTTTGTACTCCCATCCATGCTTATGTATATTATTTATGACAACTAATACAAATACTTTGATAACATTTTTTTACGATATTTTAACACCATTTACGTGTCATTTTATGATTTGTCCATGTTGATATTTATGATTATTATTATTGATTGTGCAATAATTTTGAACTAATAACAGAATGACACGTAGATGATATTAAAATATTGTCAAAAAAATGTTGTCAAAGTATCATTATCCAATACAATATTCACATTTTGAAAAGGGAATAAAAGATTATTTTTTTAGTTTATTTAAAATTATACAAACATTTTCTTACATTTTCCTTTTTGTGGTGAACAGCAAGTAAAGCTTAATCTTCTTTTTTTATATTACTGAGACTTAAGGAAAAATATGCATAGTAATTTTGCAATAAAAAAAATAGTAAAGAGTTAACTAAGATATAAGTAAGGACAAGGAAATTTTAATAAAATTATAATAATAGATTAAACGAAAATCAAATTTAAAAAATAACATTCAAATTATAGTGGATTTTATTGTCTAACAAATGTGTAAATTTGCAGACTCTTGGTTTTCAAGTGTATTTATAATTCCCTTGCTTATGCCATCTTAATGACCAAAGAACTCAAAGGACTAATTACGAATTGGTTAATCATAAAGAAATGTCCATAAAAAATCATAAAGAAAGTTATTGAACAAATTATCCCTTATGTAGCCACTATGAAATAAGTTAATTATTTTGACACTCTTCATATCCTCACAGCAGCCGTTACTAAATCCATGTTGTATATAAATCCCAACCAAGGTTTGTTAAGAATCATCCTCTCCAACACATTTTGATCATCTGCTTAGACTAAAATGGCTTCCACTCACACCCTCTTTGTCCTTTTCTCTTCTGTGACAGTAGCTGCATTGGTCTTCTCAGCATCAATGGTTGAGTCAAGATCAATGTCCAACCCCTCTTCAAGCCTTTTGGTTCGGTTGAAGCTTGAGGGTGAACCTTCCAACTGCTGGGACTCACTGTGGCAACTCCAAGCATGCAGTGGCGAAATTGTCACATTTTTTCTGAATGGTGAGACCTACCTCGGACATGGTTGCTGCGAAGCAATAAAGGTGATTGGACATGATTGCTGGCCAAACATTGTTGCCTCTCTGGGGTTCACCGATGAAGAGACTGATGTATTGGAGGGTTACTGTGAGGAGGCTGTTCTTCGTTCAGCTCCACCACCACCACCACCAAAATCTATGCTTCTTCCACAAAGGAATTAACTTTGGAGTTTGTGGCTTCCCATGAATAACAAATAAGAGCTTTGTTTTGTTTCATTTTCAGCTTTATGTTGCCACGCATCCTTGTACTAGGTGGAAATCACGATTACATGTTATGTTTTCTGAATTCAGTCAATGATATATATAATATTACATACAGGTTGTGTTTTTCATACTGAAAAGGTTAACTGCAATAAGATAAGTAGCAGGTTAATTATATTATCAATCTTCATTTATAAGTTCAATTCGATCTTAGCCGATCTCAGGTTACCGACTCTCTGGCCCCCTTTCGGTGCAGCACGATTGGAGAGTTCTATGTTTGTTTTATAATACAGTAAATTAAAATTTAATATTTTGAATTTTTTTTATTATTTAAAAAGATTATCTTATACTAACTTTTAAGTGAATTGCTGTTAACAACAGTTTTTATTCAAATTAAATTTTAAAAATAATTATTAAGTTAAATTAATATATGGGAATTAATTACAACTATATATAGTACTCACTATGTTATATAAATAAATTAAAACACTTTTCAATATATTAAACTTTATTTCTCCAATATTAGTTTTTTAAATTACTTAATTATTTAAATGCAAAATTAAAATTTCCTTTATTTTAAATTTTATTATTTTTTGTATAAATTATTATTAGTGATATTTTCTATTAAACACAATTAAAAATAAAATTTAATTTTAATTTATATATTGTGTTCTTAAACTTAATATTTTTAATGTTAATTATTATTAGTGATATTTTTTGTTAATTTTTTTTTAATTCAGTCCAATTTTGTTTTTTCTAAATTGAGACTAAATTTAATTTTTATAAAAATTCATATTTTTATTAAATTTTTCTTTAATTATTTTTAAATCAACTCTATCTATAATATTAGAATATAATTATTATATTTATATTTGATTTTTCTACATATAAAAGATAATAGAATTGCTATAAAACTAATGATGAATTTTCTTTTCTAATTTTAAAAATAATATAGACATTTCCTTCTAATTTTAAAAATAAATTATAATTTTTCTTCACATTTCATAAATAAATTAGAATTTTCCTTCTAATTTTAGAAATAATGAAGAGTTTTTCTTAAAATTTTAAAAATATTAAAGAAGTTTCCTTCTAATTTAAAAGAAATGAAGAATTTTTCTTTTAATTTTAAAAATAATAAAGAATTTTTCTTATATTTTTTTTTAAAAAAATTTCCTTCTAATTTTAAAAATAATTTTTTAATGAAGAATTTTTCTTCTAAGAAAAAATGAAGAATTTTTTTTCTAATTTTAAAAATAGTGAAGAAATTTTCTTCTAATTTTAAAAATATTTTAAAAAATTTAATAAAAAATATAAAAATTAAAATTCACAAATTG